AGGCTTTGCCAGACTAGTGCGCCACCCCCCCCAGCAGACCAGGCTTTTGTTGTGGACCCTGGGGTAGAGCAGCTGGGGTGCTGCCGGGTTGGTCCTGCAGGGACCTACCTGGCAGCCCAGCTGTTCTGTCCGAGGCTCGAGATTCAGCCGCTGTTGAAACTGATCAGTGGCTGATTCCAGGAAGTTGGGGGCAGAGCAATTCTGCCTCCAGCTTACTGTAGTCAGCCCCTGGTCAGTTTCAGCAGCAGCGGCTGAATCTGGAGCCAGTTCCGACTTACATACAAATTCAACTTAAGAACAAACCTATAGTCCCTATCTTGTACATAACTCGGGGACTGCCTATATTTGCTTAATCTCCCACACACTGCATTACCACCAGGGTCAGCAACTGTGGGGATGGTGTTGGCAGAGAAGAGCTGAAAGCATTTTAATCAACATTTCATCAAGCCCTTCTCATAGCATGCTCGCGTGGCGGCTTTGGGGCAGGGGTGGGCGATAATTTTCTCAATTGGGCTACTTCATGAATTTTGATACATGCTCAAGAGCCAGCTCCCCAGAAGGAGCAGAGCCTCAGGCGGATGAGATGGGCAAAATCAGGTCAGGGGCCGAAGCCCGCTCTGCACAGCTAGCAGGAGAAACCTGGGAGCCTCTCAGCTGCAGGATGGAGCAAGGTGGGGGGAGGGGCAGCCGAACACATGCTGTTGGCAGTTAAGTATGCGCTCTGTTAAACAGCTGGGCAGGCCAGAGAGAAATACTTGGCAAGCCAGATTTGACCCCTGGGCCTGATTTTGCTCACCTCTGCTTTGGGGTGAACACCATTCATTAGCATACATTAGTACACCATCACATGACTCTGCACTGGTACTAGTATAATGGAAGAGAGTTTTAACAAAATACTGCACGTAGACACTGCCACAGTATTACTACCAAGCAAACCAAAAAATCTTAATACTGGTCTGGGTATTGCAACAAGTTCATTACACATAAAATAATACTACTAAGATTCTCTAGTATGGGGAAGAGGGAATTGAACAGACGTGACAGTGAGACACACTGGTTCATAAAGACATCAATGCAGCACTGTATGTAACACAGGATGCTCAAAATTTACATTTCACACTAGCAATATTTACCTTGAAGTCAGTTGCTTCTTCACAACTTCCAGGGACACAGGTGGCAGTGAAACAGAGGGATCAAACTTTATTTTCACAGGCTGAGATTTATGTAGAGAAGTGTCAACATTTACTCCCTGTGAGAATCAGCATTGTTAATTTTTATGAACTTGTTTTTCTCTGGAACTGTAAGCTTTAGCAGGTCCAGTGATTAGAATATAACACAAGTTGTTACTCTGTTCATAGTATAATACCACATTTCAGTGCTGAACACAAAATTAGATTTTTCTGTGCAAAAGGTATACTTAGATAAAGCTAACTATCCAGACATTTCTTCAGTTTGAACTACATGATTTTCCTCTTTCCATGAGCTGATAATCCCTGTAATTTCCAGCACTGTACAAAACACTTCCCTCCTGAAACCTAGTAGGTTGGCCGCATTTTTTAAAGATGTTTCAATATCTTTACAGCCAACAGTAAATATATTTGTGTTTTTTCTTTATATTTTGTTTTAGAAGAGAAAGTTGTTCACGGTGTACCATTCTTTGATAGGTTAAGTGGGACCACCCTGACATCAATCTCTTTGCAACCCATCACACCCGCAAATGTCACCTGTTTTGCTCCAGGGCAGGCCTTGGCAAGGGATCCCTTGGTGATGCTTTCCTTTTGAAATGGGAAGCTCCACTCCCTTACATCTTTCCAATCATTGCAACTCATTTCCCAGGTGATCCAAAAGATCGGTCGGGACCAAGCACGAGTCCTGTAGGTAGTACCCTCAGCACCTGAAATGGAGCGTCCATAGGGACACACATCTCAAGGAACCATCGTTATAGAATCATAGAATACTAGGACTGGAAGGGACCTCGAGAGGTCATCGAGTCCAGTCCTCCGCCCTCATGGCAGGACCAAATACTGTCTAGACCATCCCTGGTAGACATTTATCTAACCTACTCTTAAATATCTCCAGAGATGGGGATTCCACAACCTCCCTGGGCTGTTTATTCCAGTGTTTGACTACCTTGAGAGGAACTTTTTTCTAATGTCCAACCTAAACCTCCCTTGCTGCAGTTTAAGCCCATTGATTCTTGTTCTATCCTCAGAGGCCAAGATGAACAAGTTTTCTCCCTCCTCCTTATGATACCCTTTTAAATACCTGAAAACGGCTATCACAAAGAGGAGGGAGAAAACTTGTTCATCTTGGCCTCTGAGGATAGAACAAGAATCAATGGGCTTAAACTGCAGCAAGGGAGGTTTAGGTTGGACATTAGAAAAAAGTTCCTCTCAAGGTAGTCAAACACTGGAATAAACAGCCCAGGGAGGTTGTGGAATCCCCATCTCTGGAGATATTTAAGAGTAGGTTAGATAAATGTCTACCAGGGATGGTCTAGACAGTATTTGGTCCTGCCATGAGGGCGGAGGACTGGACTCGATGACCTCTCGAGGTCCCTTCCAGTCCTAGTATTCTATGATTCTATAACGATGGTTCCTTGAGATGTGTGTCCCTATGGACGCTCCATTTCAGGTGCTGAGGGTACTACCTACAGGACTCGTGCTTGGTCCCGACCGATCTTTTGGATCACCTGGGAAATGAGTTGCAATGATTGGAAAGATGTAAGGGAGTGGAGCTTCCCATTTCAAAAGGAAAGCATCACCAAGGGATCCCTTGCCAAGGCCTGCCCTGGAGCAAAACAGGTGACATTTGCGGGTGTGATGGGTTGCAAAGAGATTGATGTCAGGGTGGTCCCACTTGAACACCTCATGGAGGAAGACTGTTGTTTCAACTCCCATTCTCATCAATCTGAGAACACATGACTAAGGTTGTCCGTAGCTTCGGTGCATAAGGAGTTGTATCATGCTCCACCTTAATAGTTGATGTAGTACATGCACATCATGTTGTCCGTAAAAGTACAGATCATCTTGTTCTGAATATGTGCTAGGAAGTGTCGGCATGCATATCGCACTGCCCTTAATTCGAGAAGTTTGATATGTAACTTGGTCTTTTGGAGGGGCCATTTACCTTGCACAGTGTGGAAATCTAGATAAGCTCCATAACCCACGAGGGAGGTGTTTGTAGTTATAGTGACTGTCAGAGCTGGCTGTAGCATGTTGCGTGATTGTGTCCACCATTGCAGGGACACAAGAACATCATGGGGAATGGATGCTGTCTTGTTTTGAGTTCCCTGAAGGGAACCTAGACCGTGGCCAGCCCGTGCTTGCAGACACCTCATGTGAAGCCTGGTGAATTGTACTACATACGTCGTAGCTGCCATATGACCCAGTTTTTCAAGACCGTTCTGTACTGTTGTGTGTGGACAGGCCCGTACTGTATTGATGAGAGCTATGATTAGCGAAGAGTTGCTCTGGGTATGCTGGAGTCTAATTGAGCCCCTATTAACTCTAGGATTTGTGTGAGCTCTAATGTGGATTTCTGGTAGTTAATGAGAAAGCCCAGGTTGTGCAGCAGAGTAATAATGGTGTGGAGCATGTGTCTTATGTCATGATAGGATGTCCCTTTGATAAGGAAGTCCTGTAGGTAGGGGAATATTATCACCCCTATGTGATGGAGATATGCTGCTATGACTGCTAATATTTTAGAGAAAATCCATGGCACTGTTGATAGGCCAAATGGGAGGACCAAGTAAAGATCATAATTGATGCCCGCTGGGAATCGAAGAAAGTATCTGAGCCACATGGATAGTTATAGGAAAACAGGTTTTCTGGAGGTCAAGGGCTAAGAACCAGTCTCCACTGTCTAATGCTGGTATGATGGTTGCTAAGGTTACCATTTTGAAACTTCAGTTTGACATATTTGTTGAGTTATCTGAGATGAGGATGGGCCTCCATCACCCCTCTCCCTCCCCATCTTTTTCTGGGTTAGGAAGTACTTGGAATAGAATCTTCTTCCCTGGAAAGGTAATTAAACTGTCTCTATTGCTCTGATTTGGAGCAGATGTTGAACTTTTGTCTGTTATGGACTCTTGTGGGAAGGTTCCATGAAGCAGGACGGGAAAGGAGGGCGAATAGGAGGGACAGAAGTAAAAGGAATGGAGTAGCCCAGATGGACAATCTCTAGCACCAATCGGTTGGATGCAATCTGGGCCCAAAGATAGTAGAAGGGCCGAAGCCGATGGTTGAACGGAAGGTTGTTTGACACAGATGGTATTACCATGGAGATTTTGTTAGACCCCTGACCAAACCTTCAAAACTGTTTGGAGGTAGAAGGTTGGTTTGTTGAGGATTGGTGTTAACACTAGGTCTGTGCCTCTGTTAACTTTGTCTCTGTCTGTAGTTGAAGGACCTTTGTGTCTGCCTGTAAACATCTCTAGATCAAGGGTAGGGGTTATACCTCTGACACTTTTTGGGTGGAGTGTACATGCCTCGAGTCCTGAGAGTTGTACGAGAGTCCATCATATGTAGGACTGAATCAGTTTTGCTGGCAAAGAGGTGGGACCTGTCAATGAGGAGGTCCTCTACCTTCAAGTGGTGTTCTTTTGGTATGCCCAAAGCTTGAAGTCAAGAGGCCCTACATATTACTATGGCTATTGCCATGCTTCGGACTGCCGAATCTGCTGCATCAAAAGCCACTTGAAGCATCGTGCAGGCTACTGTATGTCCTTTTGTGATGGCTTGAAGCGGTGGGAATTTCTGATCCGGAAGGAACTCCAGAAGGTCTTGTAGCTTTGAGAAGATTGTGCGGTCATAATCTGCTAGGAGGGAAGAATAGTTGGCTACAAGGAGTTACAGGGTCACCGATGAATATACGTTCCTACCAATTACATCTACGCACTTATGGTCCTTATCTTGCAGGGTGGTCAGAAACAATGGGCATTTTGACCTGTGGTGCACCACATCTACCACCAAAGAAATAGGAAATCCACATCTTTCACTGGCACAAAATATTTCCTGTCCACTCTTATTCGTGGGGGTATCGGGCAGGGTTTAATATTGCCTTATCAGAAGCATGATCTTGGATGATGTAGATGGTTGCAGCATTATCAGTAGTCTGTGTTGTTTTTCTTGGACCTCCTGGAAGTCTATTTCCTGAGCGCTAGCAACCCACTTAAACAGCTCTTGGAACTGCTTAAGACCATCCACAGGAGCAGGAGTGATGGTTATGACTGCCTCATCCCGAGAAGAGGAGGAATTGTGAGGATGGGACCTCTGCTCCTCTTCTGCCACGTCCTCATCCTTGTCCAACAGTGGTTGTTTAGGGGGGGGGGGAGGAGGGAAATCTAGTAGGTCTCCTCACCAATGTAGAAGGAGCTCTATAATGGCTCCTGTGCAAGGAACATATGTGCCACAGTGGCCATTGTGGTCACATGCATGTGACAAGGCCAATACTGCCCATACAAATTGGGCGAAGGCAGTACACGTGTGGATCTGGTGTAGCGTGGATTTCATGGGGGACGTCTTTGGGTGGGATAGGAGCATTGGGATGAAAATCTACTGCCCCATGGTCCCGTGTCCAGATCACTATATGATTTTGATGGTGCAGGTGATCCAGAAGAGTCGGTTAATTGGGAAGGGGAGGCGGGAGAGTGTGGCACTGAGAAAACCTCAGTGTCTGCATATGCTGACGGAGTTGAAGCCGAGGCACATTTGGAGGTTTCGTGCAGTGAAAGCAGTAAAACAATTGGTGCCGAGGATGGTGTCAGCATTGGTGCTCATGGTGGCGGCACGTTAGCACAGGATGGCATGGTCTCAGTCCCATCTTCAAGGCCGCTTTCAGTGGCACAGTTGGTGCCATATCTGGCGTCACTGTGGTCGGTGTCTTATGTCTTGGTTCCGACTGGGCATCCTTATGTGTCATGCCGTCTTTCATTGGAGTGGTGCCAGAGGTGCTGGGCTTGTCGGATGTACTTACTCTAGCCATGCTAGGCACCAAAGGCAAAGATCTGGCTGGAGATATCCTGACCCTTGATGTCAACTTTTCCAACACAGAGGAGGGACGTATCTTTGCTAAGGCAGAAGATTTGTCCCTGTCTGGGGCCTTTCCTGGGAATGGTTGCCCCCATGGGATGGTTGAAGAGACTTATATAGAAAGGTCTTGAGATGATTTTCTGTCTGTCTCACCTTTCCTGTACTGCAAGCATGGGCACTTCTGAGAGAGATGGCCTTCTCCCAGGCATTTTATACACGATGAATGTCCGTCAGAGACCAGCACTGGGTCTTGATAGGACTTGCACTTCTCAAAGATTGGGCAACCAGGCATATTAGAGAGGGTGGCAACAATGGCAGGAAAAACTTTTTGGGGGGAGAAGAGAAGAAGAAACAGGGTTGAAAAGACTTCAGTGGTAAAGAAAACTAACTAATCAACTACTTTGTTATTGTAGATCGAAAAAAGGTGACTGCTTAGAGCTCCATCTACTGCTGAGGAAAGTAGAGAAAGAACTGAGGCATCGCACTGTGCATGCAGTAAACAGACACCAATCATATGAGAGGGAACTACTGCGCATATGTGGTGCAGCAGGGCACTCTCTGCTCACTGGTGCAAAGATACACCAGACACCTGAAGTGGCACACCTACAGGGATAGTAGTTGAATTATATTGTTATATGCAAAATTTCTGGGAATAATTCATGATCTCCTCTTGCACTTTAAAGAGTTAATATTGACGGACTAATACATGTAAGCATTATGCAAGAGACTGAATATGTAATTTACTTTTATCCTAAAGTACTGCCTAAATTGTGACAATAGGCAAATTCTTCCAAATTGTGTCATGTAAATTGCATATAATTGTGACAAAAGGATTTAAGCCAATCACAGCTCAGAAAAGATGTTCTACATTCTAGATCAGCTTCACTTTCCAAATGGATTATGGTCTAGCTCAGCGGTTCCCAACTGCTGGTCTGCAGACTGGTGGCGGTCTGCAGCAACCTGCCAGGCCACACCCCCGGCAGCGCACAAAACATTTTAGGCCCCCCATCTAGAGGGTTCAGGCAGGCCACGTGGCTGTCCTGCCCTCATTGTGCTCCAGCCAGA